AGTATGTATTGATTGGTAAAAACTGAAAAGAACAATATCCTCCTTTCTGAACTTTCATTTTGAACAGAATATTTTTTACATCTTATAAAAACAACAATAGGGCTGGGAAGTGGCTCAGTTGGCAAAGTGCCCTCTGTGCAAACACGGGGACCTGAGTTCAAATCCCCCAAACCCAGGTAAGAAGCTGGGTGCAGAATCACTAGGACTTACTGGCCAGCCAGTGAAACTGAGTATGTTAAGTCCCAGGTTCCATGAGACACCCTGTCTCAAAAAATAAGGCAGACAATGCGATCAAGGAAGACATTCAATGTTGACCTGTCTCCTCAAAGTCCTTCAAACAAAATAAACAAAAACCCATAATGGCTTTGACTAGCATAAGGTTGGTACAGGTCATGAAAACAAGAGCCACTTACATCACCATTTAAAAAGACTTACGTGTTGGTTTGATTAGAAAACTCCAAGGAACTAGAACATATATATTAAATATATATTAAGTATTTCATTAATATTATATCCATTGGAGAATATTCTCAGCAAATACAACTCAACAGAAATGCACCCAGATACGAACAAGCTTTGGAATGTCAAGGTATGTTTTGGAAAGCATTCCATTTCCCATGTTTAAAACTATTTTAAAAAGAAAAGGAAACATTTAAGACTCCACTCTCATTTTATTTTAGCTGAATTCTTCCAGATCCCTAAACTGGAAATCTCAAATACTCATATTTGAGAACTGACAGCTATGTGTCTGGTAGTGATGGTGACCTCGTGATACTTGCTTCTGATTTACTCTCATTTATTTATTTAACTATTTATTTGTTTGTTTGTTTGAGACAGGCTCTCACACAACCCACAATTGGCCTCCAATTTACTATGTAGTCAAGGCTGGCTTTGAATTCCCAGTGTTCCTGCCTCTACCTCCTAAGTACTGGGCTTACAGGCATGCACTACCATGTTTGATTCAAGTAGTGCTAGGAATCAAACCTAGGGCTTCCTGCATGCTAGGCCAGCACTCAACCACTTGAGCTGCAGGACCAGTACTTGATTCTGAACTCTTGATCCTCTTGTCTCCCAAGCACTGGGATTACAGGTGTTCATCACTACACCTGGCCCCCCTTTTTCTGTTTAACATGTGCTTCTACCTTCAGGTTTCTTTCTAAGTGTGCATTCTTCACAAAAAAAGACTATATTCACTCATGAACACAACCTGCTTAACTTCCTTGGCATCCTAACAGCAGTGCAGCCTATGAATCCCAGACACATGAAACCCTCTTGCCTGCCTATAAACTTCCTGATTTTCCTTCTTGATTCTGCCTAATAGAAGTGGCAGTGAGCATCACTGGTGTCCAACTTCTTCCTAGTAGCCTTTCCTCCCTTCACAATGACACACCCTGGTGAGCCAGCTTTTAATATACTAACCTTTGGGGACATTTATCCAAAGTATAGCCAGAGGTGAACTTTTGTTGTGTGTTCATCACATGATTTCTGCAGGGATTGGCAGCTCCCCTCCCTAACTTGATGAGATCCTACACCCTCCTGCATGGTCCCTGGTGTCTCCCAGGTAACTAACTGATTGTTGACTTGTCAAGTATATCCAGTTACTGTCTGAATTTCTTTTTCTTTTTCTTCTCATGGTGTCCTCCGATCATCCAAATCAGCTGATATTATTGAGACTCCCAAATGTACAGTTTCTATCCCATAGCTCTAGAAACCCCTGGAGACATATTTGGCTGATTTCACCTGTTGACATTGCACCCTAAGGTCCAAGTGGGGAACAGGAAGAACTCGAGAATTAGCTAGAGATCTGTTACCAGCAGGTACTTTCACAAATAGGGCCTTCACTTTGCTGGGAGCTCAACCAGAATTGCAGCTGCAGTAAGGAAGCCTCTCCAGTCTAGGGAAACCTAGACTGGTAAGCTATGGCATTGGCTGCATTCTTCCTCTGTGAGGCCCATTCTGAGTAGGAGATTGACGCGTTCTTCAGAGATGGCACAGCTTTGGGAATGATGGCTGGTCCTCTCTAAGCTCCTAAGTGTATCTTCCTCACTGGGGATGACTGGAGGGAAGACATGTGAGGCAGATACAGGAGACGGTTCAGGGTTTGGACTCATCATAGATGTTGGATGCTTTCTATGCTCATTTTCCCAAGTTCCCGGTGACACCAGTTCAGATTCAAGGCTCCAGAGGGACATGAACAAGAAGTTTTGAGGGTGGAGATTTTATCAGAAGAGTTATTAACACCACAGGTGGGTGGACAGCATGGCAGGATCTCTGAAGAGGGCTCAGGTCCCTGTGGCAGGCAGAGTCGGGGTTTCTTTTCCAAAGAAGGGATGTTTCACAGCACAAGTCCCCAGCCAGACTCCCTGATTTCCCAACAGGAGTCAGGTGAGGGATGGGGATGCGATGTGTGGCCACCAGCCTGTAAACTCACTTCCCCAGGTGAGAAATCCGGGCACCCGGTTGTCTCTTAGCTAGAGATTGACCACGGACAGTGCTCTCAGTAGGGCGCCTGGCAGAGTCTGATGAGGGGGAAGGGCTGTTGCAGGATTTGTGGCCTGAGCAGTGGTTTGGTCTGGATTAGAACACAGGGGACACTGCATCAAGGGCTCCGAGTTCTTGCATCCCAGAACGAAGAATCAGACAGGCCCATGGGTATGGTTAGCGAGCGAAAACCAAGGAAAGGATGCATTTCCAAGGGAGAAAGTGGGCTGGTGCAGACAAATGGTTTAGCAGTTCAGACCACCCAAACATACAAAGATGGGGGCATTTTAATGTTGCCTTAGTGTGGGCTCTTTGGCTCACTCATGTAGTACGTGATTTCCCAGTATTACTCACGTTACATGTAGTTTTACATCTAGTGCATCTCATTAGAATCTCGAACCTCACCCAATTGCACCTTTTAACCATCATGGTGACAGACATGTCACCTTCAGGTACCCTGGAGTGCCTCTACATCTGCCCCAGTGGCACAAACCAATGCAGCTGGTCTCGTCTGGGCTGTTGCCAGCCTTCCTCTTGGTCAGTCTGTTTTCTTCACATAGTAATCCTGTAAGGCTTTGCACAGGGTCACCTGGACTGCGCTCTGACCCTTCTCTCTTTTATCAACAGGCTAGGCTCTGTCACCTGCCCCAACACAACCATTAAAGAGATGATGAACGGCGACAGGCAGAGGAAGGGGGATTTAGTCCATGTGGCCACTTTGGAGTGTGGAAACAATGAAAGGGTCCAGGGACCCCAATTCCGCGCACTGCTGTGGGCTTTAAGTTGAAACAGAGGAAGGATTGTGGTAGGGGGTCAAGGGTGTCCGTAGGCAAGCAGTTCTCCTGAAGGTGTGGTCCACTGCTGACCCATCACTGTTGTGGCGGTGTCAGAACCTTGTGGCACTCTTCCTGGAAAGCTGCCTTCTCCTACCATCCTCAGACTCCTTGGGGAACTTCAGTTCCTCAAGTGACCATGGTTTTCATGTCTGACAGCCATGGGAGGGGTCCACACAGATCACTTGGCTCCTGTAGTACAGCTTACCGTTCCCGTGTTACGTTACTTTTATTATTACCGTGACAAAATGCTTGGTGAAAACCATTTAGGAAAGGAAGTTTCTTTTGTCTCATGTCTCAAGGTCACAGTCCACCAGGCATAGCAGCAGGAGCCTGAGGTGTCTGGTCACATGGCAACCACAGTCAGGAAGCAGAGAGAGATGGATGCTGGTGCTCAGCCTGCTTTCTCTTTTGTATTCACTCCAGGGCCCCACCCCAGGGGATGGAATGATGCTGCTTCCATCTTTGGATAGTTCTTCCTCCCTCAATTAACCCAACCCAGACACTCCCTCACACACAAGCCCAGAGGACTTTCTCCTGCCGATTCTAGAATCTTTCAAGTTGACAATCAATATCAAACCTATTTCCTCTTTAGGGGACTGGACAACTTCTAGGCTAGCCCCAATTCTCAGTTTCCTGTCCTACCTTTAATGCCTTCACATTTAAATGTCCTTGAGCCTCCCGCTACTCAGAGGACTGGCCCCAGGCTGGCAGTAGAGCCGAGAAAAGAAGCCTTGATTAAAAACCTCCATGTGGTAGCCAGACAATCAGGTGTTCATTATCTCACGCGACAGAAGTACTGAAATGGAACAGTCACACGTTGGAAACTCAGAGAATTGTACTTTAATATAATTATTTTTGAAAGAGTCTTCATCAGAAAGGTTAATAAGAGCAATATAGGTTAATAGCAGTACCAAGGGACCGGACATCCTCTGATAATTGACTTTATTGATATGGAAAAATGCCCTGTGCTTCACCTGGGGGTAGTGGCCATTTCTCCCTAGTCAATTATCTTCTAATGACACCTGATTCTTTGGCTCCTGCTGTCACCTTCGGTCCCTTTGCCTTCCAGGAAGAAGAGGGTACCTCTGAATTCTCGACAGACCCCAGCTGGTTCTCTGACTTCTACAATGGGAGATGGGTAGAGGGAAGGGAGATGGAATTTCCCAAGCCTGTTTGGTTACACAGATCTTTAGCATGAAATCCACAGCTCAGAGAGTTCCAGTTTTTGGAGGGAGAGAGCCATTCATAAGAGAGCATAAAAGGGTGCCAGAGGTCCCTGTGAGAGAATTTTCACAAGCATTGGCCCAGGGTTTTCCCAGCAGTGACCGAGTACATGTATGATGGTGGTCAGATAAGAATATAATGGAGAGGAAAGTCTCCGTCACTTCCTGACAGGACAGTTGGCAGGGCATGGTAGCTCAGTGTATTACTGGAGTGTTTGTGGTACTGTCTAAGCTAACCAACCACACTGCCAGTTGTGAGGTCAGTGGGCAGTTAGGCACACTAAGTAATACTTGATTGTGACAATCACGATGACCTCACTGTTTTATGTATTTATTGTACTGTGCTTTTTCTGGATCCTACCTTCCCTTGTTGTCTCCCCCCCCCCTCCCTCCC